GCTGAAAAACTCAGCCCAGAGCTATTCAATCTTCGTTCGACTTGTTTTCTTTGTGCGGTGTGCTCTCTAATATGGCCGATGCACTCAGCGATTTTGCGCTGAGCAGTAGACTTTTATTCTATCGGTGGAAATAACTCTTGAATAAATCATGTTAGTGATTAAAATTCAATTCATCGAAATTTTATTCTACGTCTTATCAACACAAAAGCTACTGTATAATACATTGGTAGAGATACAAAGATTGTGTACTTTGATTTTTCAATAAATGAAACAGTGTGCGCTTTGCGAAGGCAGGTTGCGAAATAAAATGGCACGCTTATACGCTCGATATTACTGAATTGTAAAAATTTGAAAGACTAATTAAAGTTAGAACTCGTATTGAAAGATATTCGTCTATTGAAACGTTTACCCCATATAAATCGATTTTAGAAAAAGAATGATCATGTATGCATCTCTGAGTCTGTCGAGATGTGAAGAATGGCCTTAAAATGCAGCGAACTCTTGAGATTCCGGTAAAATATTTTGAATCGTACAAAGCGTTTTCTTCAATAAATATCGCTGGTTACGATACAGCTGTATTCCATTTTCATAAGAAAAACAGAATCTGTGAAATTACACGATTCGAGAGCAGACGCGAATGAGAGGGAAACGAGCGAAAGAGGTACGGTGTATAGATGTTTTGCACGAATGCTTACGTGTTTCTAACATGTGTGTGTATGTGCGTGCGGATGTGTGTGTGCGCGCGCGCTTTCGATATTATTCATTTCGATTGTCGAGATTGGCATTGATCACGTAAGAATCGGATTAATTTCAAATGAAAAGAGCGTCAATCACATTGTGAATAATAATTGTCTGATTAGGACGTAATTCGCACTACGTACTACTAAGTCTTTACTAAGTTCTAGCGAAGAGGAGGGATACAGTTTTTGGCTTGTGCTCTGTTCATCGCTCTGTATGTGCTTCGAAATTTGAAATTTGCCGATGTAATAAACGTTTAATAAAATCGATCCGAGAAAGCGAGGAATAGAATGCGGTTTGTTTTCGAATCCTTGAATCATATTAAGCTTTTTTTTGTGCGATCAAAGATGTCGAAAATTTTTTAATAGTCTTATAATTAAGACTAGCGGCAAAAATGGTGTTGCGAACTTTTACATCTTTATTACACTAGAATCGTGAAATTATCTATCGAGTGGACTTAAATAACATCTTTTTTGCAAGAAACAGAGCTACCTATCAGAGATAAATTACCGGTTGTAAAAAATTAATTTCAATAGGAACGTGATGTAACAGCGCAAATCTGTTTATATTATCTGCTTGTATTACCGCAAAAAATATAAGAGATTACCGAGATGACTATAAATATATCTAATTAGTATATCATAATTAATCAAGAAAATAGGCCTCGCGAATAGTAGGTACGAAAATTCGAAAAAAGAAATAAAAATCTATACATGTTTTAATTCTTAACTTATCGCACAAGAAATTAATTGTGATAATCTTTTATTGGTAGATTATAGTTTTCTTCGAATCTTACATTTTTTTAAAACCTGTGGTGCGTTTTTTTTTCTCTGATATTTTGCTGGAAATATTGTGATTTATTATGAATTCGCGCGTAGAATCTGCTGCATCGAAGAAAAAACGCATTGCGTAAACTTGATTCACTTTTCGAGCCCCGATATCGTGGAAGGATGCTTAAGCACCGTTTAAAATTGTTACGCCACTGTCCGACGAAGCTTGGAAACTTCTGATCTTCCAGTTCGCTCTGAGCATCTCGCAGTCGTGAGAGTCTCGGCATGTGATCGAGTATTCGTCAGGAACAGCTTCCGCTATTGCCGGTCTAGAACGTTGAATAGAATTACCTGGCCGCGTGGCGAAGATTTATTAGCAGCAGCAATCGTGTCCTTCATCCATTCTTCGTATCTTCAACAAGGTAATCAATGATGTTGAGCTAAATTTAAAAACAGGTAGACATCGCGAAAATTACACTTTGCGTGTAAAGGCTGCTCATCAATAACCGATGGAAAAGTTCCTTATATTACTGTTTTCTGTGCCTCAGAAGAAAAGTACGTGTGTCTGTGATACATTATTGTTATACGATATATTAACGGCATTTTGTGTATCTACGAATTTTTAATCGAAGAAAGATTGAATTTGAATCGAAAGACTTCTCCTATGCTAGAGAATAACTAGCATCGAAATCACTCAACTGGAGATTATGTATTACCTAACCAGTGTGTATGATGCTATTTTGAAATCTGCCCTTTCTGACCTAAACGTTATAAACATTAAATCGAGAATCGCGAGTTCAATCATATACATTAAATACTAACAAACAGTGATGCCGAAATAAATATAAGTTAGTTGATTAAACAGAAGAAATGAATAGTTTGCATTCATAATTAATAATTTATATTAATATTATTTAATTTTTAATAATTTCTACATTTACAAAAAAAACTTTGCTATCGTTGTTAATTATTAAATAATATAATTATGAGCAGCAATAGGAATACACGCGTACATTTGGAGATAATTATAAATGATTTTTACAAACTGTCTTGATTAAAAATATATATTTTATCACTTATACATATTATAGATTATATGTAGAATCTACATATAATCTATAACAATCAGTGTTTTAAAATAAATTTTTAATTAATTTTGTTAAAATAAATTTTGCACTGCTTTGATTTAATTTCTACGCATAAACACGTACATACATATATCCAGAGAGTTTTTATATTATATTGATAAACACGAGATTTTTGACAGTCAACAAGATCTGCCGCACGAATCAAACGAAAACACGATAAAAGTCGAAAAGGCAAACACGTCGTAATTACGATAACCAAATTGACCGATGTAAATGTAAGTTGGTAAGACGATAGTAGAATCCAGTTGTGTGTGGAAGTTTTTGTGCTAGACACTCAGCAGACATAATTCCACCATTCTTTATTATCATTCTGTTTGGCACGCGAGGCAAACATGGGTTCTAAGATTTGCTGTTTGACAGATCCGCGAAATCTCGAAGGGAACAAGAAAATATTAATCCATACTATATATATATATTTATGTTACATATACACGTTTCTTTATTTTGCAAACTTCGTTTCCAGATTAGCTCCAAAAATTGAAAATTAAAGCAAACAGCTTCGAGAGAAAATTCAATTATCACCAATCTGCTGATAATATCAATGTTACACATAACTATTGATTACAATTAAAAAATCCGTGCGACTGCTAATTAAATCCATTAATTTTACGTAACAAATTTATCGAAATAAATAAAAATCGCGCAATTAAATGTTTTAACGTATAGTTTATTTTAGTCTCCCTTTCTCTCTCTCTCTCTCTCTCTCTCTCTTCATATGCAACATACACATTATTTCCTGGATGCTTCCAGCATCGCGACAAATTATTCCGTAATATTCCTATCATCGAGTTTAAGATAAGAAAGAGAAAAATTACATTAAACTGCTTTTATCTGTTAAATTACATGTGAACTTTGTATGTTCAAAAAAGCTGCTTGGTCAGTAAATTACTCGGGCTTATGTATTATGCGCGCACGAAATGTGAGAATGTTTAAGATGACGAATGTGCTCTCACGATGTTTGATTGTATTATAAAAAAATTGCCGTTGCAACCGCGGAAAGTGCGATTAATCTTATTAAAAAAACCGAGATAGATTAAAACAAAACATGTTGTCACAGTTCAATATGTTGCAACCGTTTAACAAAGATCACAATTCCTTCTCTCTCGCGTTCGGCTTAGAGATTTTACCTGTCTCTAGAAATATAAATTGGCATGTATAAATAAATGAAATAATCTCTATCAAGATGTGTTTGCGAAATATATACTTAAATATTACAACAGTTTATAAGTATATGCTTTAAAATTTAAGTATATATTTTAATAACAATTTCTCTCACACGCATAATTCTCATCAATATGTTCTATATTTCTATGATTCGTTGAAATATATCCGAGGATTAAATTTAATTTATCGTCGCTCTCAAATGCTCATGCAAAGAATTCTTAAAATACAAAAATCGATATATATATTGTTGCTTCACGAGAGAGTGAACTTGTGCATGTAGATTATGAAATCCGTGAAATCCACAACTTGCTAGATATTCCTGTGAAATGTTCAATTCATTTCACCAGTGATCGTGTGCATATTGTATTTTGCAATGAGAATACGCCGTTATTGGGCTTTCTTTTGGCGTTCCGCCCTGATAAGGCAGGTCGTGCCTCCTCGATAACAAATTATCGTCGTTTTCTTTATTGTCTATTTTGTGTATCTGAGTCATTAGGACTTGAGTCGCACTTAAAAGATTCAATAAGAGAGAGGTGATAGACGATCATCGACGAATCATCTCCTATATAAACATATTACTAGAATGATTTGTCTATCATTAGAAAAGAGAATAAAATTCTAAGTAATTACATCAACGTACATTATCGAAAATCTTTGAACAAATATATTCTTATTTTTATGAGAGAAGAGAATCTATACCAGACAAGAAAGGTTTATCTTTTCTGATCATTTTTTCTGTTTTATTATACGCTGTAACACAATCATAATATTTTGACACATATCCATATA